GCGTCGTCGGCCCGTGAGACGCGTCGTCGGCCCGTGAGACGCGTCGTCGGCCCGTGAGACGCGTCATCCGTCATGTCGTGCTAGGTGCTACGCGCCGCCGTAAGTCGTTCGTACGCTCTGCAGGAAGACAGCAACAACATTAGAACCGAAACCTTGAAGGAAACGAACGAAGGAAACGAACGAAGGAAACGAAGGAAGGAAGGAATGCACCATAGCAGCGCAGTGACGGTCAGTGGCGCGGTCACGGTAGCGAACCGCCGTGAGACGCGCTTCGTCCTTCGCCAAACACGTCGCCACGCGTCACCGCGTTTCGCCATCCGTGAGTCATCGCCCGCCACGCGTCATCCGCGTCTTTGTGGTCAGGTTCTGCAGGAAGGAAGAGACGACACGTTAGCGAAGCGAACACGGAACGAACCGGAGCCGCCAAAGACAAGCGAGGCTTCAAAGAAGAGAATCACCAGTGACGACTTGTCTTGGCGGAGCGGCAGCGACGGGAGAGGCCGTCAGCGGGACTTGGCGTCATTGACTTGGCGTTTGAAGTCAGCGGGACTTGGCGTCATTGACTTGGCGTTTGAAGTTTGCGGGACTTGGCGTCATTGACTTGGCGTTTGAAGTCAGCGGGACTTGGCGTCATTGACTTGGCGTTTGAAGTCAGCGGGACTTGGCGTCATTGACTTGGCGTTTGAAGTCAGCGGGACTTGGCGTCATTCACTTGGCCTTTGAAGTCTCGGCCAGCTTCGGCCGCCAAAAGGTCTGCATCAAAAAACAGAATCAGTTTAGTACTGCGCCTCAGAAAATGGCATAAATAAAAACGACGGGAAAGAAAAGCGATTGGAAAAGTACAGCGACGTGCTTACCGGCAGAGTGACGACTTGTCTTGACGGAGACGAGCGGCAGCGACGGGACTTGTCGGCAGCAGCGTTCCAGCGGGACTAGTCTTGGCGGAGCAACGGCGACGGCGGGCATGACGGCGACGGCGATCGTGACTGCGTCATTGACGGTAGGAGCTTTCGAGTCATGACGGTAGGAGCTTTCGAGTCATGACGGTAGGAGCTTTCGAGTCATGACGGTAGGAGCTTTCGAGTCATGACGGTAGGAGCGGTAGGAGCTTTCGAGTCATGACGGTAGGAGCGGTAGGAGCTTTCGAGTCATGACGGTCGCCATGAGTGTCGCCAAGAAGGCCGCCGAGATCTGAAAAAAGAAGAAGGCAGCATATTAGTACTTGTGTTAAAAAAAAAAAACCATTGGCGTATTAGTTACTAGAAGCAACACTTGGAAGAGATCTACGTACCCCAACCATTTGGCGACAAGCCCGTCATTGGCGACGGTCGCCATGACTGCTGCCAGCTTCGTCGTCAGGAGCAACGGCGACGGCGAGCGTGACGGCGACGGCGATCGTGACTGCGCCATTGACTTTGTAGGAGCTTTCGAGTCAACGGTGAGCGTCAGGAGCAACGGCGACGGCGACGGCTTGAAGCAAACAGTTTGAAGTGATTTATTGGCGACAAGTCCGTCATTGGCGAAGGGGGGCGAGGCGACCTTGAATGCTTGAATGCAGCTCGGCGTAGCCTCTCGCAATGCAGCTCCTCTCGCTATCTTGTGAGACGGTCGTCAATGAGGTCGCCAATGAGGTCGTCAATGAGGTCGCCAATGAGGTCGCCAATGAGGTCGTCAATGAGGTCGCCAATGAGGTCGCCAATGAGGTCGTCAATGAGGTCGCCAATGAGGTCGCCAATGAGGTCGTCAATGAGGTCGCCAATGAGGTCGCCAATGAGGTCGTCAATGAGGTCGTCAATGAGGTCGTCAATGAGGTCGTCAATGAGGTCGTCAATGATGTCGTCAATGAGGTCACCAATGACGTCGCCAATGACGGTCTGAAAAGGAAAAGGCAACACATTAGCACTACTCAAAGAAGAAACAAAAAAACAACACGACGTTTGATCAAAGTCCAACCTGGTTTACGTACCCCAAGTCGACGGTTGGTGAACAGTTGGCGACGGTCATGACAACAGTTGGCGACGCCTTTCAGGTCCTCAAAGCGCCAAAGGCGGGAGGCGTTCTTCCGGTATGCTTGAGTGCGACCCGTCCGGAGGTCGAAGCTCCTATCCGCTTCCGGCATGACTTATGTCTGAAAAAGAGAAAGCAAACAAAGGATTAGTAAAAAGAAGAACCAAAGTACCTAAGTGCTGAAGGCAAGAAAAGATCAGCGATCAGAGCAAAACTAAGGAAGGCAACAAAACTAAGGACAATGATTCACTTACCCCAACACGATCAGCGACGGTCGCCGCGAGCCGTGCCGGATCCTGACTTCCTTCCGTGACGACCGCGAGCCGTGCCGGATCCTTCCGGATCCGTGGCGACCTTTCAAGTCCTCGCCAGTTTCATGCATGAGTGCCTCTCAAACGGCGATGATTCGCGTCTCGCGGCGGGGTGAGATCGGCTTCAGGTCGACTTCTGTAGAATTTCCAGCTTGAAGCACCTACCGCGTCGAGCTTGGCTTGGGCCTGAAAAAAAAAAAAGTAAAAAAAGGCAATACTTCAGTGCCGCTCAAAAGAAGGAGAAGAAAAATCAAGTTAAACTAAAGTCCAACTCTATTTACTTACCTCAACCCAGTCCACAAGTCCGCCACTGGCGGCGGTGGCGAACCGTTGGAGGTGTTCTTGACACCCGTTGGAGGCGTTCTTGACACCCGTTGGAGGCGTTCTTGAAACCCATTGGACCCGTTGGAGGCGTTCTTGAAACCCGTTGGAGGCGTTCTTGAAACCCGTTGGAGGCGTTCTTGAAACCTGTTGGAGGCGTTCTTGAAACCCGTTGGTTATGCTTGAGTGCTTCCGTCATAAAGACGGCTTGCGTCTGAAAAGAAGAAGGCAACCAAGGATTAGTAACAAGAAGAACCGAAGTCACTCAGAGCCAAACTAAAGAAGGGAACAAAAAAAGGAACCAGCGACAATGATCCAGCGTGACTAACCTCACAAGTTGGTGACGGTCGCCGCGAGCCGTGACGGATCTTGACCTTCGGGTCCTCGCCACGTCGAATCTTACACGGCGATGAAGCGTCTATCGCGGCGACGGTCGCCGCGAGCCGTGCCGGATCTTGACCTTCGGGTCTTCGCCACTTCGGATCTCATGTGAAACTTCGAAGCTCCCGAGGCTCTTGAAGAGCGGAGACATTGCTGCGAAGAACTCGCAGCACCAGCATCTTGAGTGGTGCCACCAGCGGTGACGGGATTTCGCACCACCAGCCTGAAGCTCTTTCTGCGCTTGTAGAGATGATCTTGCGGAACATAGATCTTGCAGTGGAGATCATTATCTTGTCGCGATGATATGTTGCCGCGAAAATCCGTCAGCACACGGTTCGGCTCGAAACACTTGGCAGCTCGCTCCTCACGACACCTACCCACCCACCCCAACCCCTAACTCAACGCCGCCTCGTGCTTCGAGCTTCACCGTGTGCTTCAGGTAGCTTCAGGAGCTCATTAGATTGGAGCTCTTTGAAAACCCTTCCAAAGTTTGAAAAGGAAGGAAAAGAACGCTACAAAGGCAACATCGCTAAATTATATGGAGCGGATGAAGCTCGAGAGAGGAGCAAGCGGAAGGTAGTTGCTGAAGCAGAAGGAAAGCGTGCTGCTGATCAGTGGATGAACGAATTCAGCGGCAGCCATTCTGAACGGCGGCGGTCGCGGTACGTCTTAGCGCCTCTTTAACCCAAAAGTGATAGGTGAATGCAGGTAGGAGTGATACAATAAAACAGCATATACCAAGGTGCAGTGCGGTGGACGGGGCGCGGCACTGGTGTGGTCTAAACTGTGTGGGAGGGAATTTCTGGATCCTGACACCAGGCTGGGCGCGCGGTGCGATACAGTTGATTGTGATGTGAAAGGATGGATGGTGGTGGTGCAGGCGACCGCAACGGTGAGGAGGTGTGGTGGCATGTGTCATGAGCCAATGAAATGCCGCGGCGAGATTGCGGCAGGCAGGGAGGGGACATTCGTCTAAGCGGCGCGTGGAGAACATTTCGAGGCGGCTGAAATTGTGCCCCCGCCTTATCCATCCAGTTCAACCCAAGTTGTACAGCACATTCATTTTGCACATTCGGGCTATACAAATCGGATTGACTTTTCTGTGTGTAAACGCGTTTGCCAAAGGCGAGTATTTCTGGTTAGGGAGGTTTGTTGGTGTGCAACAGCAAGGGCAGGCTTGAGCCGTCTAGGTGGTGGTTGACGTGGCGCTATTTATAGCGGGCCATGAGTTTTTTTCAGCTGATCCGCGAGAGTTTTCCGTGAGGTGCGGGACGGCTCTGGTTTAGGAAAAGTTCAGCCGAACCTGCCTAGGGCAGCTGAATAACAATGGATGGATGAGAAGAAAATTTCGCGAACCAATGGAACGAAGTTGTTTTTGACACCCCGGCACAACCACTGGACCTGGTACTCCGAACCGAACCTACCACACCTCCCTTCACCCGTCATTGTCCAGATGTGCTTCGTCACAGCAGTAGGGTGTAACTTGCATTAGCTCAGACACTAATTTGCATTTAGTACTAGTTTTCGCCACGCATCTTGTTAGTTCGTGAGGACAGATCTCAGCGCGGTAGTCGATGTAAGTGCTTTCATGGCAGCGAAAATTTCATGTAGCAAGTGTCGCTCACGCCCTCGGTCGTTCTTAGTTTTAATTGCTTTACGCTTGGCGTGCTAGCAGTACCGGATCTGAACAGACATAGCATTATCGGCAAGCCAGTTCAAGTTGAGGCACCAGATCTTACTTCTATTTACTTGCGTAATGCGGACGTCTTTCGGCGGACGAATTACTATGGTCGATTTCGTATGCATCAGTAACGTAGCGGGTTTCGTCGAGTAGATAGCGCCTTTCGTCAACTTCACAGCGTCGACGGTATCCTGGACGCAAGACGCGGAAAAGGAGGTGAGGGGAGGTGACGGTAATTTCCCCTTCCCCCTCCCCTTTTCGCTTTCCCCCTCGTGACTTCAGAGCATCGAGAGCAGGAAATGAAGGAGAGGACTGGAGAAAGTTGGAAGCCTCTGTACTTTCCCCTTCCCCCTACATTTCCGCTTTTTTCTCTCCCCTGTCCGCTTTTCCCGCTCCCCATTCCGCCTTTCTCCTCCCCTTTCCGCTTTTCTCCCCTTTCCTTTCCGCTTTTTTCCTCCCCTTTCCGCTTTTCCCCTCCCCTTTCCACGCTCCCCTCATCTTCCAGGACTTCAGTGCGCGTCGACGGTCCCAGCCTGGACGCAAGACGGGAAAAAGGGAGGACGGGAGCGGGAGGGGAGGTGAGCAGAGGGGAGAAGAAAGACGAAGGTGGGCGGAGCGGAGGGGAGAAGAGGGGATATGGACGGAGAGGACTGGGCGAAAGGGCGAAGCTACGATTTCCCCCTATTTTTTCCTTCCCTCCCCCCCTCCCCCCCCCCCCCCCCCCACCTCCCTATTGTTCTCTTCCTTCACCAAGCATCCCCATTCTCCGCTCATTCCCCCCTCTTTCCAGTCACCCTCCCAACCCCCCACTCTCATCACTGTTGCGCTCTATTGTTCTCTTCCTTCACGCCCATCCTCAGCTCCCCTCGATTCACCCCTCGTTCCCCCTCTTCCCCCCTCCTCCCCTCTTCCCCCTTTTCTGACTCACCCCTCATCCCCCCTCCAACACCCATACCTCAACTTTTCCTCCGCTCATGCTTCTTCTCCATCACGATCACCCCTCATCTCCCTCCCCTCCCCTGCCACCGCCCCCTCACTACCCTCATCTCTCTCACCCCCCTCCCCTCTACCACAGCGTAGCTACCCCTCATTCCCCCCCCGCCCTTCCCTCACATTTTCCCCACTCACCCCTCATCTGTTCTCGCCCATGCTCTCCGCATTCCCCTCGCTTCTCCCTGAATGGCTGCTTGTGTTTACATGTGGCACTCCCAGTGTGACTGCTGTCCTCATCCGCCCCGCCCTTCCCCCACCTTCCCCCCACTCACCCCTCATCTGTTCTCGCACATGCACTCTGCATTCCCCTCCTTTCCCCATGTATGACTGCTTGTGCTCAGTGTATGCCATTTGATTCCCCAGCTATCTTATCTGGCACGTGTCTGCATGTGATGTGATTGCTGCTCGTGACTGGTCCTTGTGACTGCTGCTCATTGCTGCGAAATCATTCACTGTTACCCATGTCGCACTGTCTGTGCAACTGCTTACTCTAATAAATAACATGTCATTTGTCTTCTCAGCTGCCTTTGTTCTGACACGTGCTGCATGCAATGTGGCTGACCTGTTCGCATTTGCGGCCACAGCAACACTCTATCTGATTCCTGGTTGACGCTTGGCTGGCTGGCTGGCTGTGTGTGATGTGCCACCAGCAGCCCCACTAGTTTCTGCTATTATACAACTTGTGATTTATTTGAGTTATGTAGCCTGTTTGTACCTACCGTGTTATGATATAAAATTCTCCGTAAGGCCATGTCAGATGCACCAGCAATCAGTCTACTATACCTTCTGTGCATGTAATCACAGTGGTGATAGGATCATGGGAAAATATGTCAATGATAACTTACATGGGGCACTATAACGCGTACGGTAACGATTTCAACGCGTTTGGTAACTCGCTTAACGCGTTTGGTAACTTGCTTAACACGTTTGGTAACTCGTTTAACGCGTATGGTAACTATACACTAGCAGCCCATCACGCGAATGGTAACTACATGAAACTCCCGCCGAAATGATCCTGACGAAGAGGAATTTATCGAGTTTGAAAGATTTTACACATAGTTTTGTATTTTTTGAACAAGTCCCGCCGCGACTTTGAAGGACCCCGTTTATTCTATTACCACGGACCGAAAAGTTTCAGAGCCGTTTTAAATATATATGTAGCTCGTACAAAAACGGTTAAAATATGATTTTGGATAGCATGATTGCGAACTTGCAAAATTATTAAAAAAAAAAAAAACATTCCCCGAAAGGACCTCGGGGCTTTTACTTTTTGTAATTACTGCAACGTTGGAGAATTTTTGCATGTGGGAAAAATACACCTCTTTAGAATTACATGTTTCGTTTTTTTTTACCATAAACGCCTTCTCGCAAGGAGTTTAGGGTCGCCTCTCAAATTCATTTGCCATCTGAAAGGGGTATAGATTTGTTTTCCCCGGCTGCACGATAGAATGAAGTACAAACAGTTTGCGGAAAGAGCGCCAGAATGTCAGTTATGTAAGAACAGTTGTTTTCACAACACTTACGTTTTTGCAATTAGCTTGAAAATCGGAAAGTGTGTCAGAAATTCGGAAAGTGTGTCAGAATTTCGGAAAATTGTGTCAGAATTTCTGAGAGTGTGTCAGAGGTTTCTGCTTCAGGATTCGTTAATTTAGTCTGACGCGAGCGGGAAAAACCAGAATGAGGGTCATTTTGGGCGAGGGTTTCTTCTAGTTACCATTCGCGTGATGGGCTGCTAGTGTATAGTTACCATACGCGTTAAGCGAGTTACCAAACGTGTTAAGCGAGTTACCAAACGCGTTGAAATCGTTACCGTACGCGTTATAATTCCCCATAAAAGTTACCATTGACATATTTTCCCTAAGATCATCGAGTCCAGCAGTTCATATCATAACCGAGCAAGAAGCCTCATACGGTAGCTAGCAATATATCGGCAATGCAATGCTAAATGCAGTGTATACTAGACTTCCCGCAAGGTCGTGCAGTCCTGAGGAGAGTTAATTACAACGGCGTTGTTCGCCAGCACTTTTAACAACAAAAATGACGGGATCAGGAAGGTCAGTCTCGGCTTCCTGATCCAGCAGGTCAGCCCGCGAAACTCTTGCCGAGCCTATGATTCCGTCCGAACCAAACGGAATCATGTTGGCCTGTCGAACGCCCTCCTTTTCATTCATTTCGAATGGAATCGTGAAGGTAGGAAAGTGGGTCGGGAGCTTCCTCTACAGGCAAACGCTGGTCCCGTTGCCATTCCATCGCCATTCACCCCCCCTAGCAGAATTGCCTTGGGATGGCCATGGGATTGGAAGGATGTGGAGGGGGACACGGGGAATTGGAAGGTGGGGAGGGTGGTTCCTGATCCCGTTGCCACCCTTCCCCTTTCTGGCGCGAAATTTCGCGATTTGGCCATTCCCCCCACACCTATTCGGGAGGTTCCTCCTCTGGTTCGTGATTCCACGGCCTTTCTTTTTTTAGATGTGCTGGCGAACACCGCCAACGGTATCCGGCTGACTGACGACGATGTCACCGGAAACAGACGATTTTATAGCACTTCGGGACTTTCGCGTGATGTTTCCTAGTGAAATTTGTTTGTTCATAACGTGAAGCATATACTGATAGTTCAAGCGCTTACCATGGACGATTTTATTGACCTGAGCGACGACCAATGGGAGCGTCTCGAGCGCGGCGAGCGCATTTCTTCCCCAAGCTGCGGTGCCGGCAGCGCCGGTGATCGCGCCGGGATTCCCGCCGGAAATTCCGCTGGTACTCCCGCCGCCGATCCCGCCGTGAATTTCGCCGGTGGCTGGCCGATGGACCCGCGATTGGCGCTAGAGCTAGAGGATGAGCGGGAAGACGTCGAAGCGCGTCTGCAGAAAATACAGGAGGAGGTAGAATCGCTGCTAGAAGAGCAGGAGCAGCTAATCAAGAGACGCGAGGAGATTAACTCCAGACTAGAGGCGTCAGCTGCGGCTGCAGCCGCGTGGGCTGCTGCTAATAACGCGAATGCTAATAGCGAAGCTGCCAGTGAGAGCAAAAATGATTTTAACAGGAACGCTGGTAATGGTGGTGATGGTGGTGGTGGTGCAAAATCTGAGCAAGGAGTAGCAGTGGGTGTGGGGGGGGTCAAGAGGAGTAGGAGGATCAGGAGGAACAGGGGGAGCAGGAGGAGGAGCGGGAGGAGGAGCAGGTGCAGCAGGGTTGGGATCGGTGGCGAGGTGGCAAGCTCCCTTTGAATGGGACGCCCAGGTGGCTGCGGTTGGGCGAGATGTGTTTGGGATCGGACGGTTCAGATCGCAGCAGAGGGAGGTAAGGGAGAAGGCTCGGAAGCAGGGACGGTATGGGGCCAGGCTGGGGGGCAGGCAAGTACAGGATCTGCCCTGCCCTCCCTCCCTGTTTTAGATCATTTATGCAGTCCTGTGCAAACGGGACGTGTTTGTGGTCATTCCGGCAGGGGGGGACAGGAGCTTCTGCTACCAGCTGCCAGCACCACTGTCCTCAGTCAACCTGTCCATAGCACTCTCCTTTCTCCTCCCTGCTTCTCCCCTCCAGCAGTGCTTCTCCCCTCCTCTCAGATCATCAATACGGTGTTGTGCAAGCGGGACGTGTTTGTGGTCATTCCGGCAGGGCGGGCGGCAAGAGCCTCTGCTACCAGCTGCCAGCGCCTCTGCCCTTCTTCCCTACCACCGCACTGACCTTATTATTCTCCTCTCTCCACTCTCCACTCGCTCCTCTTTCTCACTCCCCTCATCAGATCATCAACGCAGTGTTGTGCAAGCGAGACGTGTTTGGGATCATGCCAGCAGGGGGGGGCAAGAGCCTCTGCTACCAGCTGCTAGTGTGCCCTCACTGCAGAGGCGTTATTAGTCTCCTTTCTCTTCTCTCCTCGCGCAACTTTTCCCCTCTCCCCTCGTCAGATCATTAACGCAGTGCTGTGCAAGAGGGACGCGTTCGTGATCATGCCAGCAGGGGGGGACAGGAGCCTCTGCTACCAGCTGCCAGCACCACTGTCCTTGCCAATCTGACTGCATCCCTCTCCATCCCATCAGATCATCAATGCAGTCCTGTGCAAGAGGGATGTGTTTGTCATCATGCCAGCAGGGGGCGGGAAGAGCCTCTGCTACCAGCTGCCAGCGCTGCTATCTGCACTGCTCACTTTCTGCCCTGCTGCCCTGCTGCAATGCTTGCTTATCGTTCTCCTCTCCCTTCGTCCCTCCCCTCATCAGATCATCAACGCCGTGTTGTGTAAACGAGATGTGTTTGTCATCATGCCAGCAGGGGGCGGGAAGAGCCTCTGCTACCAGCTGCCTGCACTGCTATACCCAGGCATCTCCCTGGTCGTCAGCCCACTTTTGTCGCTCATTCACGACCAGGTAGGTACTGTGATATCATGTAGTGTGGTTATATGCAGTGTGATTATGCGTGCTGTAGTTATGTACACAATGTAAGAGCCTCTGCTACCGGCTGCCAGCGCTGCTCTCGCCAGGCATCTCCCTGGTCGTCAGCCCTCTGCTCTCTCTCATTCATGATCAGGTGTGATGATAAGTATGTGCTGTGATTACCTACCACCGGCTGCCAGCGCTGCTCTCGCCAGGCATCTCCCTGGTCGTCAGCCCTCTGCTCTCTCTGATCCATGATCAGGTGTGATGATAAGTATGTGCTGTGATTACCTACCACCGGCTGCCAGCGCTGCTCTCGCCAGGCATCTCCCTGGTCGTCAGCCCTCTGCTCTCTCTCATTCATGATCAGGTGTGATGATAAGTATGTGCTGTGATTACCTACCACCGGCTGCCAGCGCTGCTCTCGCCAGGCATCTCCCTGGTCGTCAGCCCTCTGCTCTCTCTCATTCATGATCAGGTGTGATGATAAGTATGTGCTGTGATTACCTACCACCGGCTGCCAGCGCTGCTCTCGCCAGGCATCTCCCTGGTCGTCAGCCCTCTGCTCTCTCTGATTCATGATCAGGTGTGATGATAAGTATGTGCTGTGATTACCTACCACCGGCTGCCAGCGCTGCTCTCGCCAGGCATCTCCCTGGTCGTCAGCCCTCTGCTGGCTCTCATCCACGACCAGGTGGGTAGTTACAATATAGTGTGTGGTTCTACCTACTGCCAATGTATATAGCCTCCCTCCCCTCTGCTACCAGCTGCCTGCACTGCTCTCCCCAGGCATCTCCCTGGTTGTCAGCCGTCTGCTGTGTCTCATACACGACCAGGTGAGTACGATGACAGTATAGTGTGAGGTTATACATCCACGACCAGGTGGGTGATTAGCAGAGGGCTCTCTCTGCTCTGCTCTCTCTCTCTTGGGTGATCACGCTGCTCTTGCCTGGCTCTCTTGCTTGCTCTCCCCCACACACACGTACACAGGTCATTTGTCTGTCGGGCTTTGGTGTGCCGGCAGCCATGCTCACATCTACCACCTCCAAAGACGAGGAACGGGCGGTCTATAATACCCACTTTCATCTCATGGAGTTTGTCTCGCCGTCTTAATAACACTCAAGTTGATGGACATCAGACCTCCGCAGCCCACCTGTTTACTAATAACAACATCTACCACCTCCAAAGACGAGGAACGGGCGGTCTATAATACCCTGGAGCAAACTTTTGAGTCGACTCAAAAGTCACCTTGGAACGGGCGGTCTATAATACCCTGGAGCATGGGGAAGGGGTGGGGGGGAGTGGCGGCTGTCATGCTCACTTCTACAACCTCCAAGGACAAGGAAAGGACGATCTATTCTAAGCCCCTCTCTTTTCTCCCCTCCCCCTTGCCCTCACCCTCTCCTCTCCCCACTAGGTCATGTGCCTGTCAGGCTTTGGCGTGCCAGCGGCCATGCTCACATCTACAACGTCCAAAGACGAGGAGAGGGTGATATATTCTAAGCCCCTCTGTTTGCTCCCCTCCCCCTTGCCCTCACCCTCTCCTCTCCCCACTAGGTCATGTGCCTGTCAGGCTTTGGGGTGCCGAGGTGACTTTTGAGTCGACTCAAAAGTCTTTTGAGTCATGTGCCATGGTAACGAGGTGACTTTTGAGTCGACTCAAAAGTCTTTTGAGTCGTGTGCCATGGTAACGAGGTGACTTTTGAGTCGACTCAAAAGTCTTTTGAGTCGTGTGCCATGGTAACGAGGTGACTTTTGAGTCGACTCAAAAGTCTTTTGAGTCGTGTGCCATGGTAACGAGGTGACTTTTGAGTCGACTCAAAAGTCTTTTGAGTCGTGTGCCATGGTAACGAGGTGACTTTTGAGTCGACTCAAAAGTCTTTTGAGTCGTGTGCCATGGTAACGAGGTGACTTTTGAGTCGACTCAAAAGTCACCTCCCCTCCCCCTTGTCCTCACCCTCTCCTCTCCCCACTAGGTCATGTGTCTGTCGGGCTTTGGCGTGCCAGCGGCCATGCTCACATCTACAACGTCCAAAGACGAGGAAAGGGCGATTTACAATACTCTGGGCTACTGAACATCCACCTACTTCCCTCTCTCCTCCCCCCAACCACACAGGTCATGTGCCTGTCAGGCTTTGGCGTGCCAGCGGCCATGCTCACATCTACAACGTCCAAAGAGGAGGAAAGGGCAATCTATAATACTTTGGAGCATGGGGAAGGGGTGGGGGGGAGTGGTGGAGGGGGAAGGGGAAGGGGACGGGGGAGTGCGAAGGGGGGAGGGGGGAGAGGGAGAGGGAAGAGCGCGGCAGGAAAACCGAGTCGAGGGAGAGGGAGGGGGAGAGCGGGAGGAGGGGGAAGAGGGAAAGGAAAACGGAAGAGAGGCAACGACGAGGAGGCGGAGAGCGAGGAGGAGGAGGAAGAGTGGGGAGGAGAGTATGGGGGGGAAAGAGAGGAAGGAGAAGGTAAAGGGAGAGAAGGAGAAGGTAAAGGGAGAGCAGAAGAAGCAGCAGCAGGAGCAGCAGCAGGGCTGAAGCTGCTATACGTGACTCCTGAGAAGGTGGCGAGGAGCAAGCGGTTCATGTCCAAACTGGAGAAGTGCCACGCTGCTGGGAGGCTTTCATTGATTGCCATAGATGTGAGTATCTGTATGGGTGGTAACCACATGGTAACCACATCGTAACCACATGGTAACCACACCTCAGTGAAGCTGCTATACGTGACTCCTGAGAAGGTGGCGAGGAGCAAGCGGTTCATGTCCAAACTGGAGAAGTGCCACGCTGCTGGGAGGCTGTCATTGATTGCCATAGATGTGAGTATCTGTATGGGTGGTAACCCACATGGTAACCACATCGTAACCACATGGTAACCACACCTCAGTGAAGCTGCTATACATGACTCCTGGGAAGGTGGCGAGGAGCAAGCGGTTCATGTTCAAACTGGAGAAGTGCCACGCTGCTGGGCGACTGAGTCTCATTGCCATAGATGTGAGTTTCCCATGGGATGTCACTGCTCATGCGGTAACCGCTCCTTACCATACCACCTTGTGACGCCTGAGAAGGTGGCGAGGAGCAAGCAGTTCATGTCGAAGCTGGAGACGTGCCACTCCGCTGGAATGCTATCTCTTATTGCCATAGATGTGAGTACTGACATGGGTGCTCATTTGATGTGAGTGCTCATGCGGTAACCGCACCTCACTGCTATACGTCACTCCTGAGAAGGTGGCACGCAGCAAGCGGTTGATGTCGAAGCTGGAGAAGCGCCATGCTGCTGGGAGGCTCTCATTGATTGCCATAGATGTGAGTGCTGGCACGCAGTAGGCACACAGCAACCCCACATGACGAGCAGCAAGCGGTTGATGTCGAAGCTGGAGAAGTGCCATGCTGCTGGGAGGCTAAGCCTTTTGCCATAGATGTGAGCGGGTGTACAGTAGAGTGGTAACCACATGGTAAGCACACAGTAACCGCATGACTCTTGCCCCCTGGTGTTTTTTTCCTTCTCAGGAGGCGCATTGCTGCAGCCAGTGGGGCCATGACTTTGGCCCCGACTACGCCCATCCCTTCTCTGCACTCCCCTCCCACCACTCCTTTATTGTCCCCACCCTCCCTCCTCACTCTTTATTGACCCCCTTCTCAGGAGGCGCACTGCTGCAGCCAGTGGGGGCATGACTTTTGTCCCTGACTATGCCCCTCCTACACATTCACTTTCCCCCACACCCCTGTTCAACCCCTCCTCCTCCCTCTTCCCTTATCAGGAGGCGCATTGCTGCAGCCAGTGGGGCCATGATTTCCGCCCCGACTATGCTCATCTCTCAGTGCTAAAAAGCAGTTCCCCAAGACGCCCATGCTCGCCCTCACAGTGAGTCACCGCTTCTTCCTCAGTCAAAGAAGATTATGAGAATAATGAGTTAAACCGTGTGCTGGTCTCATGCCCCCCCGCCCCACTATGCTCATCTCTCAGTTCTGAAAAAGCAGTTCCCCAAGACGCCCATGCTCGCCCTCACAGTGAGTGCTGTTCTCATTGTGGTGCTGCTCTCATAGTGGTGCTGCCCTCACCTCATAGTGCCAAGAGGGGGGAGGGGGCGGGGAAAAGGTCCCCTGCCCCGACTACGCACATCTGTCTGTGCTCAAGAAGCAGTTCCCCAAGACGCCCATGCTCGCCCTCACAGTGAGTGCTCGCCCTTGCAGTGAGTGCTTGACTTTCTCCGTGTCAGTGTCCAAGATGGAGGAGAGAGGGGGCGGGAAAGGGTGTCTTGCCCTGACTATGCTCATCTGTCTGTGCTCAAGAAGCAGTTCCCCAAGACGTCCATGCTCGCCCTTCCCCTTTCAGTCGTTACCGTGTCTCTGTCTAGTGAAGGCATGACTATGACTACGCTCATCTCTCAGTTCTGAAAAAGCAGTTCCCCAAGACGCCCATGCTCGCTCTCACAGTGAGTCACCGTTGCTTCCTCAGTCTATGAGACACTTTTGAGAATTCTCACTTCTAAGATTTTTTTTTTTTTTTTTTTAACTTTTTTTAACATTCTCATTTTCCAGAATTCTTCAGAATAGCATCCCACCTCTCCCTCCGACCCCCCACCCCCCCCCCCCCCCCCCCTCTCCCTCCCTCTTCCCCTCTCTCCCCCTTACCCTCAAGGCAACAGCAACTGAACGAGTGAGGGACGATGTGAGGGACATGCTTCAAATGCGGCGATGCGAGCTCTTTGTTTCCTCTGTCAATCGCCCCAACCTCTTCTATGAGGTGTGTGTAGTGAATGTGGTTGAATGCGGTTGAATGCGTTTGAATGTGGTTGTTTGTGGTTGTTGCCGATTCGACTTACCGCTAGTCAATTCCGTGTTAAGCTGAATCAAAAGCTTCCTTTTTCAATCAAGTCAAAGCATGATTGAATCGCACCTTATTCCGCTGCTTATACGTGGTACCTACCATACCTTACCTCTGTCTTTCTCAGGTGCGGGAGAAGCCGCCTGGTGCAGCTGCTGCTGTGGAGTCGATTGCTCACTTCATTCTGGAGCACTATGCGCCTTCTGACTCGGGCATTGTCTATTGCTTCTCACGCAAGGAGTGCGAGCAGGTAGGATGGGAAGATGTATGGTGTGAGTAGGTACAGTGCGGTGGGAGGAGATCGGATGTGGAGTCTGTAACTCACTTCATTCTGGAGCACTACGTTCCTTCTTACTCGGGCATCGTCTACTGCTTCTCAAGAAAGGAGTGCGAGCAGGTACAGTGTGACTAAAAATGGTGTGAGCAGGTATGTAGCAGCTGTTGTGGAGTATACTGCTCACCTTTTATTCTGCAGCACTATGCTCCTTCTGATTCAGGCATTGTTTACTGCTTGCGAGCAGGCATGGTTGGAGCAGATAGAGTGCGGTGGTAGCCGGTCTGGTGAAGTGGGAGCAGGTATGCAGCAGCTGCTGTGGATTCAATCACTCAGTTCATTCATTCTCAGTTCGATTCATGCCCCTTTGGGCCTGTGCATCGTCTACTGCTTCTCTCATTTCGTTCCCTCTCAGGTAGCATCAGAGCTGTCGCCGCGTGGATCCCCAGCAGCACACTACCGTGCCGATATGGACCCAGCCCACGTGCATAGTGAGGTGCCTTATAAGAAACCCCTCCTCATCTTGACTCACCTCTGTCACCTCCTATGCCTCTCAGGTAGCATCGGAGCTGTCGCTGCGGGGCATCCCGGCAGCGCACTACCATGCCGACATGGACCCTTCCCATCGCACTCATGTGCATGTGAGGTACTAAGGCGGGGCGGGTGTTGTGCTAGTGCGCTGTGCTGTGCATGATGTGCTGTGCAAGTGAATGACATGGTGAGTGTGTGAGTGATCTTAGCAGCGCACTACCATGCCGATATGGACCCAGCCCACCCCACTCACGTGCATGTCAGGTACTGAGGGAGTACCATTTTGTCAATTACTAAGGCAGGTACTATCATCGGCAGAGCACTACCATGCCGATATGGACCCAGCCCACTGCACCTCATCCACACAAGCATGTCAGGTATTAAGGGGGGGCTTTGGAATAAAAAAACGGAGTGGTGGTGAGTCTGTGAGTGCTCTCAGCAGCACAGCACCATGCCGGTATAAACCCTGCCTGCCCATCACATTCACATGCACCGTGCACATAAGGCAAGGCACTAGCACGGCAGGGATCTTTAGTCAAGTGACGTGTCGTGTATGAGATCTACCAGCAGCACAATACCATACCGTGTGGATATAGACCCTTCCCATCTGACTCTGGGCACTGCGGGTGTGTGTGGTTGGGGCAAGGTAGTAGCATTCTCTTCTCACCATCCCTCCTAAACCCCCATTCCTCGTCCCCTTCCCCCCGCTCCCGTTCCTCCCCTAATAGCTGGAGTCGGGGGGAAGTGCAAGTCATTGTGGGCACTGTAAGTGAGTGACTGGAACAATGTGGGCATGTGAGAGGGCTACGAAAGATGTTGGGTCATGGTGGTGGGTGAGTGTGAGAATGAGCAAGAGGTAGGCGCTTTGATCACTGACTGCTGGATGTGGAAAATGTGGGCATGCGAACAAGCGGTAAGTTTCTGCATGTTTGCTTGTGTGTTTGTGTCCTGATGCGGCTTTTACGGCAGGTTGCATTTGGAATGGGAATCAACAAGCCTGACGGTGAGCTATTAGGCTATCGAATTTCTGCTTCTGCCTGCTTGCATGTGTGTGCGCTCTGCATGACCAGGAATAGGAATCAACAAGCCTGATGGTAACCCTAACTTTTTGCCTGAGAATAATCTGCATTGCTGAGGTGGGAACCAGTGCTTTTGCTGTGTGCACATCTGTTTCTCATTATGCTTGTTTGCTGTGCTTAAGGTAATGAACTTGGGCTTATGTCTCTCTTCTATCTTGCTCTCTCTATCGCATTTCCTAATGGCAGTTCGGTTTGTGATACACCATACTCTCAGCAAATCTATAGAGACCTACTACCAGGTAACATGTTGCTTCAGAGGCTAATAAAAAATGAGGGGAACCAAACATTTGGCTTCTTTGTCATTACCAGTTAACTGCCCCGTCTGTTTCCCATGAAACAGTCTTCTTAAGTGCTTTCTTTGCAGTTCGGTTTGTGATACACCATACTCTCAGCAAGTCCATGGACACGTTTTATCAGGTTACCTGCTGTTTCAGGTTCAGAACCGCCTCAAACGTTTTTTGTTTGTCATTACTCCCCCGTTAGTTGCCTTGTCCGTTTCCTGTTTTAATGTGTCTCAAAACCAATTGGGAGAGCAGCAATTCTGAAGTATGGAAAACAAAGCAACCAGCGGAACTAAACTGAAAGTTCCGTAAACGAAACTGGTTTTTGTAAGATGTCCTGGTCCCCGCCGCTTCTCCAGTTTTTTTTTCCCCTTTTTTTTCTCTATTTTTTAGGAGAGTGGGCGAGCAGGCAGGGATGGGCTGCCGGCTCGCTGCATTCTCTTCTTCCGATGTGCGGACCTGCCCCGACAGGTGAGACAGGGTGAGGCAGGGTGTTACAGTGGAGTGGGAAGCTATGAATGAAACTACTGGGGGTGAGAGGCAGGCAGGGATGGGTTGCCGCCTCGCTGCATTCTCTTCTTCCGATGCGCCGACCTGCCAAGACAGGTGAGGCATAGTGTTGCAGGTGCTGTGGGGCAGTGGGGTTGAGAGGGGTGCATGGGATCTGGGGTCTGAGCCCTGGCGAGCGGGCAGGGATGGGTTGCCGCCCTCGCTGCATTCTCTTCTTCCGATGCGCCGACCTGCCAAGACAGGTGAGGCATAGTGTTGCAGGTGCTGTGGGGCAGTGGGGTTGAGAGGGGTGCATGGGATCTGGGGTCTGAGCCCTGGCGAGCGGGCAGGGATGGGTTGCCGCCTCGCTGCATTCTCTTCTTCCGATGCGCCGACCTGCCAAGACAGGTGAGGCATAGTGTTGCAGGTGCTGTGGGGCAGTGGGGTTGAGAGGGGTGCATGGGATCTGGGGTCTGAGCCCTGGCGAGCGGGCAGGGATGGGTTGCCGCCTCGCTGCATTCTCTTCTTCCGATGCGCCGACCTGCCAAGACAGGTGAGTAAGGTGCCGCGGGTGGGGACCGGGGAGTAGGCGGTTACAAAGAGGCGTTAGGGGGAACGGTGGGTGAGCGGGAAACATGTGATTGGAATAACGGACTGTTCTTTCAGGTAATGCGGGTCCTACTCTAGTTTTATACAGGGTTACTATCTTTTCAAGAAGTGACTATCGTTCTTTGCTAAGGCGATCCTTCACGCTGCAGCTCTTCTTCATGACCAGTGAAACATGTGATTGGAATAACGGACTGTTCTTTCAGGTAATGCGGGTCTCATCTCATCAACCTGAAGAGTTCTGAGTCGTTTCATTACCCGTCTCCCCACCTGCCGCTTCCCCACCTGCCTTATTCACACCTTCTGTATTCCGCATCTGCCTTGTTCCCACCTGCCATATTCCCAACTTCTCTACCCCAGAGCCGATTGGTCTTTGCAGAAAACGCAGGACTCATCAACCTTCAGAGTTCCTAGACGTCTCTCCCCACTACCCTCTCCCCTCTCCTTCTCCCCACTCCCCACCTCAGAGCAGCATGGTATTTGCAGAGAACGCTGGGCTGATCAATCTGTATGCCATGGGACGGTATGCCATGGTGAGTGGGTGGGGTGGGGGAGTCATATACAGCAGCAGGGGGGTATCAGACTGGTGCTATTCGCAGAGAACGCTGGTCTGATGAACCTGTATGCCATGGGGCGGTATGCCATGCTGAGTGGTGTGGAGAGGTAGTGGGAGGAGTGAGTGAGGGAAGTACTGAGAGATGGACTGGTGCTATTCACAGAGAACGCTGGGCTGATCAATCTGTATGCCATGGGGCGGTATGCCATGCTGAGTGGTGTGGAGAGGTAGTGGGAGGAGTGAGTGAGGGAGTACTGAGAGATGGACTGGTGCTATTCACAGAGAACGCTGGGCTGATCAATCTGTATGCCATGGGGCGGTATGCCATGCTGAGTGGTGTGGAGAGGTAGTGGGAGGAGTGAGTGAGGGAGTACTGAGAGATGGACTGGTGCTATTCACAGAGAACGCTGGGCTGATCAATCTGTATGCCATGGGGCGGTATGCCATGGTGAGTGGGTGGGTGCTTGGGGAGAGTGGGTGTGGGCGTGGGGGTAAATGCATGCATGAACGCTGGGCTGATCAACCTGTATGCCATGGGGCGGTATGCCATGGTGAGTGGGTGGGTGAGTGGGGGAGTGGTGGCTGGTTGGGGGAGTGAATGTGAGGGAGTGAGTGGGGAAGGGACTCGTGGTATTTGCAGAGAATGCAGGTCTCATCAACCTGTACGCCATGGGGCGCTATGCCATGGTGAGTGGGTGGGTGGTTAGGGGAGTGGGATAATGTGTAAGTGAATGCGTGCATGTGCGCAAAGGAATGCAGGTCTAATCAACGTGTATGCCAAGGGGCGGTATGTGATGGTGAGTGGGATGTGTGCGGTGCAGGGAATATCATATAGCGAGTGAGAGATCATGCATAGTGTCTTGTGAGGGATAATGCTGGTCTAATCAACCTGTATGCCAAGGGGTGGCATGCGATGGTGAGTGGGTGGAAGAGTGTGTGGGGGAGTGGGTGGGGAAGTGGGTGAGTAAGTGGGTGGATGAATGGGAGGGAGAGTGAGGGAGTGAGTGAGACATGGTCTTGTGGTACCCACCTTTTCCCACCTTCCCACCCCTTCCCACCTCATCCCGCCCCTCTCCACCTCGTCCCAACCCCTCCTTCCTCCTGAAAGAATCGCCGTGAGTGTCGGAGAACGGCTAACTTCAGGCACTTTCTCCCATCCTTCCCATCCCTTTCCACAGCCGTTCCACCCCTTTCCACCCCAATCCATCCCTCCCTCCTCCCTAAAGAATCGCCGTGAGTGTCGGAGAACGGCTAACTTCAGGCACTTTCTCCCATCCTTCCCATCCCTTTCCACAGCCGTTCCACCCCTTTCCACCCCAATCCATCCCTCCCTCCTCCCTAAAGAATCGCCGTGAGTGAAGGAGAACGGCTAACTTCAGGCACTTTCTCCCATCCTTCCCATCCCTTTCCACAGCCGTTCCACCCCTTTCCACCCCAATCCATCCCTCCCTCCTCCCTAAAGAATCGCCGTGAGTGTCGGAGAACGGCTAACTTCAGGCACTTTCTCCCATCCTTCCCATCCCTTTCCACAGCCGTTCCACCCCTTTCCACCCCAATCCATCCCTCCCTCCTCCCTAAAGAATCGCCGTGAGTGTCGGAGAACGGCTAACTTCAGGCACTTTCTCCTATCCTTCCCATCCCTTTCCACCGCCGTTCCACCCCTTTCCACCCCAATCCATCCCTCCCTCCTCCCTAAAGAATCGCCGTGAGTGTCGGAGAACGGCCATCTTCAGACACTTCGGGGAGGAGCCGAGGGAATGCGAAGGTGAGTGGTTGACAGATGTTGTGTGATGTGGTGTGGTGCAGTGGAGTGTAGTGGGGTGAGGTAATGTACTGTGCGGTGCCATCTCATGTCAAAGGAAGACTGGCCATCTTTAGGCAGTTTGGGGAGGAGCCGAGGGAATGTGAGGGTGAGTGTGTGAAGTCCTATGATGCATGCTTAACACTATGCAATTCCCTAGAGAAGGTACGGCCATCTTTAGGCAGTTTGGGGAGGAGCCGAGGGAATGTGAGGGTGAGTGTGTGAAGTCCTTGTATGATGCATGCTTAACACTATGCAATTCCCTAGAGAAGGACGGCCATCTTTAGGCAGTTTGGGGAGGAGCCGAGGGAGCGTGAAGGTGAGCTGGTGAAATGTTTTGCCATGATATTGGTTTGGTGGGGTGTGGTTGGTTTTGGTGTGGCTGGTTGTGGTGGGGTGTGGTGGGGTGTGGTGGGGTGCGAAGGCGAGCTGGCCAAACATGGTAGTCGCGGTGTTAGTCAGCAAAGTGCCATACCATGCCGTCCTATGCTGAAGAATGTCCACCCCCACCACTCCACACCCCTCCACACCCCACCCCACCACCACACCCGTCCACGCCCCACCCCACCACTCCACACCACACCATACCCCTCCACACCCCACCCCACTGCATCCCGCCCAGGTATGTGTGACATTTGCAGCCAGGGAGGAGGAGGAGGGGAACGAACAGCGCAGCAGGACTTTACTCCCCCACGCCCGTTTCCATACTCGAATTCGTCAAGAAACCCAATCGTCCAAGGAGAAATCCCCTCACACTGTTGCAGCTTACAGAGCAATGGCGAACAGGAGGCAGGGGAGGAGGAGGGGGAGGCGGAGGAGTGGGGGAGAGGGAATGTGAAGGGAGGGGGAAAAGGGGAATCCGAGAGTTGGGTTCGTGGTGAAGGGATCACTAAAGAGACAACAGAGCAGCTTATAACGCATTATGCTCCTGTCATCTGTGCTGGTGAGTAGAGTAGGCTATCTAGTACAATCAAAATACATCTCGCTCCTGTATTCATTCCAATGCCGTACGGCCTATGTACTGTATACATTAGAAGTATGGAGTTTTTTCTTATGTGTGACTATAGTGGGAGGAGTTTCAGCACTCATCATATGCTACAAACACCTACCTGCTTTTGCGTCATGTGCTTGTGCACATTCCCCATACTGCCTCATATGTGCTAAAGAGGAGGAGTTTCAGCACTCACCATACGCCACAAACGTCTCAAATGCCAATCCGCTTTTGCATGTGCATGCTCGTTTGTATGTGCCCCAAACCGTTGCTTGCCTGTGTGACTATAGAGGGAGGAGTTTCAGCACTCGCCATTTGCCACAAACGCCTACCTGCTTCCGGGCCGCAATGCACACCGCGTCCTCACAGGTGAGTGAGTGGTTTCAGGTGAGTGGAGTGGAGATGGTCTCTCAGGAGTTTCAGCACTCGCCATATGCCACAAACGCCTACCTGCTTCTGAGCCGCAATGCACACCGCGTCCTCACAGGTGAATTTAGATGGCCTGTCAGGTCTGTCAGGTGGTTTCAGGTGAGCCCAGGTGGTCTCTCAGGCGATTTCAGGTGTGTTTTCGGTGGCCTGATCAGGTGTTGTTAGCTGACTTGATCAGGTATCTTGTGTAAAATTCCAGCAAAGGATGTTGCAGCTCTCTTTCCCATGTAAGCCTCTGTTAAATAAAAATCAATCACTAATGGAAGAAATATAGCCAAGACCCTTTTATCATTCGTTGGTAGCTACTCTTCCATTCCCCTTTCGTAAAAAACATCTGAAAAAAAAAAAAAAAAAAACAGTGTCTGATGTTCTCTCTCTATCGCCCACAAAACGTTACAGGTCAGATGCGCGTTACAATGGACATCCCAAGACAAGCAACAACAACTACAACTCATCCTCCTGCTGACCCAAGCGTTTCAACTGCACGAACCACCACTATCACCAACACCGCAACTGCTACGAGTGCAGCCGCTGCTGCATCTGACGCAAAGCTCTCCCGCCGCAATCGACCAATTGCGTCGCTCCGTTGCCTCTCAACACGGCGGCCTGTTCCCACATGCCTGTGCTCTCCTCCCATCATCTCTTCGCTCTCTCGCAGTCGAAACCAGCCTCCATGCATCAGGTACGGCCCTCTTCACGCCTTCACACCTCCGTTGCATCTCAACACAGCGGCCTGTTCCCACATGCCGTGCTCTCCTCGCACCATCTCTTTGCTCCCTCTCACTCCAAGCCAGCCACCATGCATCAGGTAAGGCTTTCTTCACACCAAGGTACATCATGTACAGCCCTCCTCACACCACAAGGCTTTGTTGCATCTCAACACGGCGGGTTGTTCCCTCTTGGCGTGCTCTCCTCCCACCACCCCTTCGCTCTCTCCCACTCCATGCCAGCCGCCATGCCTCAGGTAAGGCCTCTCTGCACATCTCATTCCCTTTGTTGCTTCTCAACACGGCGGGTTCGTTCCCTCGTGCCGTGCTCTCCTCTCACCACCTCTTCGCGCTCTCTCACTCCAAACCAGCCAAGCATGCATGTTCAAAACCATGCATGTTCCTATTGTTGTGTAATTTTCCTCCTCGGCGCATTATACGATCACTTCATTCCTTCTTTCGAACCACTCTCGTCGCAGTTGGTAGAGATTATCGGGCAAAGACGAGCGGATCAGTTCGGAACCAAATCTTGGCATTCATTGCAGAGCACGTGGAAAGCACACGCCAGGCCAAGGGGAATGAAGATTCACCTCCTGGTAATGACGCCACTGAAGCTGATGATGCAAGAAATCAATCTGGAGTTGAATGTGAAGGTGGTGAGACGACGGAAGGTGTAACAGGACGATGCATAAAGCTAAGGAAATGAGAAGCGACAACAAGGCCTCTTCTGGAGGGGAAGAGCACCCGATACCCAGAAAGCGAGGTGGGGGACGCGTTCTTCCGTTAAGTCTAACTAAGGGTAGATAGATAGCTGTAATTGTAACAAGGATGAAAATGATGTATATCATGTTCAATAATCTAAGTGTAGCTGTAATTTCTAACGAAGCAGCTTCTCTGATCTCAGCTTCTATGCCTGCGACACTTCTTCAGAAATGCTCTGTGCTGATATTTCCAGCGCGAACTTTCGCGAGCACGCGAGTTTCCGTCGCACGTTCCACGAGCTTGCAGATTTCGCCAAATCCCATTCGCATGCGTCAGCGATAGAGGAGGAAACAAGTTTGAGCTTAGCCTAATTTCCGCCTCTTATAAATGCCTCGTCAAATCTAAATAGCATTGGCATTCAATATTCCTCAATCCTCTTGCTGTCGCATTCATCCCATAACTTCTCGGCATCTTGTCCCTCGCTTTACCCACTGCCGCTGCTGCATTCCTTTCTGACAGCAGCTTGGTGAGATGGTTACCACGGCTCTTATTGGCGTTTCGCCGCTGCGAACGCTCCTTGGATTGCGGACGGCGCTGCGTTGCCGAGCCACCTCCCCGTTATCATCCTCCTGCGTCGTTTTCCCGAGCTCTTCTCTTCGTACCGTTGCGGCCGCTCCCGTATCCGCGTTAAGACCAGACTCGAGGGATCGCAACAAGGCCCCGTCGTCAGGCCCCAGCTCTCTTACCTCGCAGCTTAACTTCAAGCCACGCAGTTATCACGATCATCCGAATTCTTCGAAAATTGAGGGAATCCTGTCCTCCAATCGCAAAAAGGACCCGCTTCTCCCATTTGCTGGTCCATCCCCCCCAGGCAGCAGCTCCGGTGACAATCCCGAGGCTGACAAACTAACCTCCGGACCGGATCTCAGCGCGGAGGAGAAGCGTCGACAGAAGCTTCGGGATAATATGTTTAAAGACGGCGAGTTGGGGAAGCGAGGGGAAGAATACGTGGTTATCCAGATGCTACTATTCGCCGGCATCGCTTTCCCGCCAGATTTCCTCTTCTCTTCCTTCCTCCCTCTCGCGTTTTTCGAACCCAGCGACGTCTGGTATTTAAACTACGTTGCTGGAGCCGCGTTACTAGGCATTGGCGGATGGTTTTCTTCTAACGCGGTCAAAGATCTCGGGACGAACCTTTCCCCTTTCCCCAAGCCGCCAACAGATTCGGAGCTCGAAACTGGCGGGACGTACGCGATAGTGCGTCACCCGATATACAGTGGCGCGTTGCTAGTCGCATCTGGTTTAACCCTCCTCACATGCAGCACAGGACGGGGGATTTTAACGGTTTTGCTGCTGATTTTGTTTGACAAGAAGGCAGCAGTGGAAGAAGGATTCCTGATTGGCAAATATGGCCGGAAGTATGAGGAGTACAAGCAAAAAGTAAAGAAGCTTATTCCATACATATATTAGGCATGGCAATACTTGCATCTGCCACAGCTGGATATGCTAGCCGTGCATGCCTGTCTACAATTGTGTGTTAGTGGAGGGTTGATGGTTTGATGCATGATTCTTGTTGGAAATCTCAGCCCTACCAAGGGCCGAGCCCAAGTGAAGTTTTTGAAAGTTTGAAGTTTGAAAGGAAGCTGTATTTCCAAAATCAGGAAGAACACATTTGTTGTGTGAACTGAGAGGAAGCAGTACCTTTTGGGGCACTTCAGTTGCTGCTTGATGCGTGTGGAGTGGAATGAATTGAAAGGTTTGGACAGAGATGTGTGGATACAAAAAGGATAATAAAGGAAGGTTTCGATTTACCAGTAAATCACCATCATAAGTGTAGATGTACCGTGACAAATTACCATAATCGAATTCTTCTAAAGCATTCATAGCGAACTTCTAGGATTTCGCATAGTTTGCCGCGTTGTCGCACGTGGTATCAACATAATGGCCGAATCTTGCATTCCGCATGCATCAGGACGAGAGGGGCAAATTCCTGTCCCGTAGTGCCTGCCCGCCAGCCTAGCAATGTTCCCTTGGCTTGCATAAGGACGCGTTGAAAGTGCAAATATCGCAGGATCGTCTGCTTATATCGATCCCCACAATCGATACTGATGGGTACTGAGAGGGGGTGCAACAGGACGGGTACTGAGAGAGGGTGACGGGGTTTATTCTACTGGGAGAGGGTGATGGGACTTTCTGAGCCTGTTTGCAATTATGGTTGTATTCTTCTTGCGAGCAGTCTGTTCAGTGCCCCAATAAAGTGGATTGTATTGTATTGTCCTTCATTCTTACCAGTGCTGATTTATGTGAGGAAGATGGGTGCTCTATGAGAATGTTGTTTCTCCCTCTTCCTTCTGGGATTCAGCATTTCCCCATCCATTGTAGCTGTTGTGCTGACTTTCCTCGACAGTTACTAATGTTTGAATGATGATCAGCAGTCACCCTTATAACCAAAAGACAAGGCGTGAACAGGAAGCAATGAACGCATGAAATCCACATCATGATGCTGCTTGCTTCCAGTATTCTCCAAGCCAGGTCTTGCTACCACAACAAAAAACACCAACGAGAGATGTACCCCTCCAATGCACTGTAACAGCACGCTCAACTCCACATATTTCTCCAGCGTAAGCCATCCTATTCGTGCGTAATAGAGCTCATTGTTCAACAACCGACTCAAGCAGCAGTGGACTTGGCCAGCAGTTGACGCAGCACAAAGTGCAGAATGCCCCCGTGATTGTAGTAGGCCTTTTCGAGCTGCACGCACAGCACAGCAGGAGAAAGAAACCACGGAAACATCAAGACCAACTTTGACTTCAAAGATTCCGTTCACTTTGAGTAGTCATATCCACGTATTGGCCAGGCTGGATCCGATCCACTGGCGACAGGGAGACGAAAAAGCAGTCTCTGCCTTCATGACTGCTTGACTGCTTGGCGCATGCACTCATTGCCTGTACATAAGCACCTTGTGTGTTTCCACGACTCACCTCATTGTCGAATCGAAACGTGTAGGTAGCCCCACTCCCTTTGCCTATGTACACACACGCCCAGTGTCTCCACGACTCACCTTTGTATCAAAGCGCAGGGTGCATGTGAAGCTCTTCCCACTATCGGTGTAAACCACCACGTCTTGCCCGGGCTGGATCTGATCCACCGGCGGCAGTGAAAAGGAGAATCCACTACCAACCCTCCACCTCCTTCCCTGCGGGCCTTCACATGTATACTCTGCGTGGCTACGGTACTCACCTCCGTGTCGAAGCGCAGCGTGCAGGTAAACGACTTTCCGTTGTCCGTGGAAACCACCACGTCTTGCCCCGGCTGGATCTGATCCACCCGCGGCAGCGAGAAGGAGAATCCTATCCTCATCTCAGTATCGAAACGCGGCCAGTCGTTCTCACCTCAGTATCAAAGCGCAGGGTGCAGGTAAACGACTTTCCGTTGTCCGTGGAAACCACCACGTCCTGGCCGGGCTGGATCTGATCCACCGGCGGCAGGGAGAAGGAGAAGCGCTCCTTGCCAGTCAGCCCCAGCGTCTCGGCGTTTTGACCGGGCTTGAAGCAGAGCGGGATGATGCCCATTCCCACCAGGTTGCTGCGGTGAATGCGCTCAAATGAGACGGAGATCACCGCCCGCACCCCCTGTGGTGTGACAAGGCAGAAAAGGTGGGGGCAAGAGTGAGGGAGCTTGGTGAGGGGCTTGAAGCAGAGCGGGATGATGCCCATTCCCACCAGGTTGCTGCGGTGAATGCGCTCGAATGAAACAGAGATGACAGCTCGCACTCCCTGTGGTGTGATGGTGGGAGAAAGCAGACGGGAGAGGAGGACGGGAGGGAGGAATGAGAGGGGCTTGAAGCAGAGCGGGACGATGCCCATCCCCACCAGGTTGCTGCGATGGATGCGCTCGAATGAGACGGAGATGACAGCACGCACTCCCTGTAGGTGTGTATGACAAGGCAGAAAAGGTGGGGGCAAGAGTGAGGGAGCTTGGTGAGGGGCTTGAAGCAGAGCGGGATGATGCCCATTCCCACCAGGTTGCTGCGGTGAATGCGCTCGAATGAGACGGAAATCACCGCCCGCACTCCCTGGGAGGAGACAAGGCAAGGAGCAGGAGGGAAACGAGATAGGGACAGATTGAAGCAGAGCGGGATGATGCCCATCCCCACCAGGTTCAGTGGTGGGTACGCTCAGAGGAGACCATAAAAATTAAACACTCAAATCACACTCAATCATACAATCAAAAGCACCCTCGCATTTACGAGCTTTCACCCTCACAGCTCATTGCCATACCTGCAGGTACGGTCCCTTGGCTGCCCAGTCACGCGACGAACCACTCCCATACTCCGCCCCTGCCAGCACAGTTTCCTGACAGATTGCCTCACATTTGAGGCGCCTTAGCAGCGCTCACACCCTCGCATTGCATTGCCATACCTGCAAGTACGGCCCCTTGGCAGCCCAGTCACGGGAAGAGCCGCTTCCATACTCCGCCCCTGCCAGCACTGTTTCCTGACAGATTGCCTCACATTTGAGGCGCCTTAACAGCGCTCACACCCTCGCATTGCATTGCCATACCTGCAAGTACGGCCCCTTGGCAGCCCAGTCACGCGACGAGCCGCTTCCATACTCTGCCCCTGCCAGGACTATCGTGGGATGTCCCTCTGCCTTGTACTTCTGCTCACACACCAAGCCACACAAGGGGAGCAAAGCAACATACAGATACACATTAGACACGACAGTGACAGTGAGTGTGATTGTGAGTGTGACAGTCACTAGACAGCCGCTTCCATACTCCGCCCCTGCCAGCACGATGGTGGGGTGTCCCTCCGCCTTGTACTTCTGCTCATGGACACACAGAGGGGCATGATGGACAGAGAGAGACACACATGAGACAATGACAGTGACGGCGACAGTGAGTATGAGGGTGTTGGCAGTCACGGAAAAAGCCGCTTCCATACTCCGCCCCTGCCAGGACTATCGTGGAATGCCCTTCCGCCTTGTACTTCTGCTCATGGACACACAGAGGGGCACGATAGACAGAGAGAGACACACATGAGACAATGACAGTGACGGCGACAGTGAGTATGAGAGTGTTGACAGTCACGGAAAAAGCGGCTTTCATACTCCACCCCTGCCAGCACGATGGTGGGATGCCCCTCCGCCTTGTACTTCTGCTCATGAGTACAGAGAGGGAGAGAAACAGAGACGCACAGAGAGACAGAAGCGTTGGAACAGTGAGAGTGAGAGATCATGGGATGAGCCACTCCAATATTCAGCCCCAGCCTTGTACCCTCCGCCCCGGCCCCAGCTATGGGACGAATTTGGGATTCCCCTCCGCCTTGTACCCTGTCTTGGGTCCCACCTCCCCCACCCCCTTTCCCCCTCGCTAGCTCGTTCACCAGCCAGGTAATCACAAACATGCCTCTCACGCTGGTTACCCTATTGCTCCCTGATGGTAACGCTGTTGATCCCTACTGGTAACCCTGTTACACCTTGCTGGTAACCCCATTGACTCATCATGGCGGCATCAAAGACGCTCATCTTCTCTCCAGAAGGCAGGTGCACCGTCTAGGGTTCCACCTCATCTGCTGCTGATAACCCTATCTCTCCCTCCTGGTAACACCATCTATCACTGCTAGTAGCCCTGTTACACCCTAGCAACCCTAGCCCACTCACCATGCCAGCATCAAAGACGCTCATCTTCTCCCCTGAAGGCAGGTGCACCGTCTTGCTGGGAACACCATCTATCCTTGCTTTGCTGGTAACCCTGCCACACTCTACTACCCCACTCACCATGGCAGCATCAAAGACGCTCATCTTCTCCCCCGACGGCAGGTGCACCGTCTTGGGGCCCACTTCTCCTCCAGCCAGCTTGTTCACCAGCCCAGCCGTATGTTGGCAAACGTGCCGCTGCTGCTGGTAACACTATCCCTACCCACTGGTACACCATCCATCCCTCCGACTGGTAACCCTGTTACACCCTAGCAACCCCACTCACCATGGCAGCATCGAAGACGCTCATCTTCTCCCCCGACGGCAGGTGCACCGTCTTGGGTCCCACCTCCCCTCCAGCCAGCTTGTTCACCAGCGGATGTTGGCAAACGTGCCGCGAGTCATGACCTCGTCGTTGCCCCGCCTGCTGCCATATGAGTTGAAATCCTTCCTGGGAACGCCCTTTCTGTGAGATACCTTGCTGCAGGACTGTCCTTGTGGATGTTCCCTGGAGCAGCACAGGGGGGGGGGGGACCAGAGGGAGGCGCACGAGTAAGTGCACACGCGGGTCATGACCTCGTCGTTGCCCCACCTGCTGACATACGAGTTGAAGTCTTTTCGCGCCACGCCCCGTTCTGTGAGGTACTTGGCTGCAGCACTGTCCTTGTGGATGCTTCCTGGAGCACGGGAGGGGGGGTGGAGAGGGTGGAAATTGGGGACAAGGATGTGAGTCATGTATTTTGAGGCGCCTCAAAATACACCCCAACGATGTGAGTCATGACCTCTCGTTGCCCCGCCTGCTGTCGTACGAGTTGAAGTCCTTGCGTGCCACTCCACGCTCTGTGAGATACTTGGCTGCAGCGCTGTCCTTGTGGATGCTCCCTGGTGTGATGGGAGGGAGGACGTGGGAGGAGAGGTGGAGTAAGGGTCGCCCTGCAATGCCAGCTCGCCGTTGCCCCGCCTGCTGCCGTACGAGTTGAAGTCCTTCCTAGCAACGCCTCTCTCTGTGAGATACTTGGCTGCAGCGCTGTCCTTGTGGATGCTCCCTGGTGTGATGGAAGGAGGGGAGGCAGAGGGGGGTGCCCAACGAGTCGCACAGGGAGCAGCACAGAAGGGAGCACAGGGTGGGAGTTGGGGACAGAGGTGTTGGCAAACGTGCCACGAGTCATGACCTCGTCATTGCCCCGCCTGCTACCATACGAGTTGAAGTCTTTTCCCCGAAAATCAGCAGGCAGAACGCGTCCTTCACGTCCTTTGCCACCAGGGGGGATGCGGGGGAAGCTCTTGAAGTAGAGCGGGTTGTGGATGTAGGTGGATGAGAGGGAGGAAGAGGAGAGGGAGGAAGAGGAGTGGGAGGAAGAGGAGAGGGAGGAAGAGGAGAGGGAGGAAGAGGAGAGGGAGGAAGAGGAGAGGGAGGAAGAGGAGAAAGAGAAAGTGGAGAGGGAGGAAGAGGAGAGAGAGGAAGAGGAGAGGGAGGAAGAGGAGAGGGAGGAAGAGGAGAGGGAGGAAGAGGAGGGGTCCCAAAACAAAACCCATCGCAGGGGAGATGTGGTCGGTGGTGATGGAGTCGCCCACATTGAGCAGGCAGAAGGCCTCCTTCACGTCCTTGCCACCCCACAACCCACAACGCCAACCCTCACTGTAGACACACGTATACCACACTCTCAAACACATACACTCTTCCAAGCACCCACCTGCAGGGGAAATATGATCAGTGGTGATGGAGTCGCCCACGTTGAGCAGGCAGAAGGCGTCCTTTACGTCCTTGCCACCAGGGGGGTCGTGGGGGAAGTTCTTGAAGTAGGGCGGGTCGTGGATGTAGGTGGAGGACGGTTCCCAGCGGTACAGAGGCTCGTTCTCCGCAGGCAGGCTGTTCCAGAGGGCGTTGGTGGCGCCCTCCTTCACTGCCTTGTAGACTGACTGGAAGAACTGAGGGAGAACCGCCCTCTCCACCACCTGGAGCGGTTTAGAGTGGTGAAGATGGGGAACTGAGGGGTGGTGAGGAATTGGAGAGGGCGTTCGTGGCACCCTCCTTCACTGCCTTGTAGACTGACTGGAAGAACTGAGGGAGCACCGCCCTCTCCACCACCTGGAGGAGAATTTAGGGGTTTAACAATGGTGAAAATAGGAGTAAGAGGGGTGGTGAGCGGCTGAAGAGAGCGTTGGTGGCGCCCTCCTTCACTGCCTTGTAGACTGACTGGAAGAACTGTGGGAGAACCGCCCTCTCTACCACCTGGAGCGGTTTAGAGTGGTGAAGATGGGGAACAGAGGGGTGGTGAGGGGTTGGAGAGGGCGTTGGTGGCGCTCTACTCTAACATTCCTGTGGCAATGGTTAATAGGTAAACTCTGCAGTCACCATGACTTGGCGGAGTGGTGCATCTGACCCTCAAAGCTCAGATTCCGACACACACGCACCTCTGCCACCACTTCGTTTGAGGGCCGAATGCATCTCAGGGAACACTCTTGTCGTCTCTGTGTGTGTGTGTATCCTACAGGCATGCATCTACCATGCAAACCCGATGCACGCACCTCTGCCACCTCCTCGTTGCTGGGCCAGATGTCTCGAAGGAACACCTCCTTGCCGTCTTTGTCCGTGCCGATTGGCTCCGTCTCAAAGTCAATGTCCACCTGGAGAGTTTGTCATGTTGTGAATGGATGAACCATGCACGCACAAGAAAGAAAAAGGGGAGGAAATTGAGGGTATTATGCTGACAGATCTCTCCGTCTCAAAGGAACACCTCCTTGCCGTCCTTGTCCGTGCCGATGGGCTCCGACTCAAAGTCAATGTCCACCTGGAACGGATAAATTGGTATTATTTGAATGGATGAAACATGTGCACAGGGAAGAAGCAAGAGAGGGGGGAGATGGTAGTTGTAGTTAGGGCATGGAGGGGCTTGTGTTGACAGATGTCTCTCAAGAACACCTCCTTGCCGTCCTTGTCCGTGCCGATTGGCTCTGTCTCAAAGTCAATGTCCACCTGAGAATGTGGTCATGATGTGAATGGATGAACCATGTGCACGTGGGAGGGAAGGGAAACGTCTCAGAAACGCCTCCTCACACCCTTGTCTGTGCCGATGGGCTCCGTCTCAAAGTCAATGTCCACCTGGAGAGTTTGTCATGTTGTGAATGGATGAACCATGTGCACGTGGGAGGGAAGGGAAACGTCTCAGAAACGCCTCCTCACACCCTTGTCTGTGCCGATGGGCTCCGTCTCAAAGTGAATGTCCAGCTGAGAATGTGGCCATGTAATGAATGAAAGACACATGTGTGCGTGCGACAATAAAGGGGAGTGATACAGGAGAACCAGTAAGCCAGCTGAACACCTACCATGCCAGCAAAAGCTATGCCACGGCGGCGGACGGGGGTGCAAGGTAGACAGTTGATTCTAACAAGGGTTGTTTCTGACAACGATACAGCATGAATTCCAGCCACCAGCCAGAAAGCAATCTGAATTTACCGTGCCAGCAAGCGCGTATGCCACGACGAGGGGCGGGGATGTTTTTGAGAAGTCTCAAAAACACCCTCACTTCACGTGGCTTTTCTGAACTTACCGTGCCAGCAAGCGCGTATGCCACGACGAGGGGCGGGGATGCAAGGTAGTTGGCTCGGGGTGAGCGGATGCACACGGCCCTCGAAGTTACGGTTACCGGACAGCACCGCAGCTGCGACAAGGTCTGTTGATTCGTGGGCGAGATGGAGGGGAAGAGAAGGGGGAAACAGCGAAGGGAAAAGGAAGGAGGGTAGGCTTGGGTAAGAGGATGGGCACAGCCCCCAACGTCGTGGTTACTAGACAGCACTGCTGCTGCGACGAGGTCTGTTGATGTGTGGGTTGAAGGGAAGAGAGAAGGGAGGAGGGATTGGTCCGAGTGAGAAGATGAATGCGACCCTCGAAGTTGTGGTTACCAGGAAGTACCGCTGCAGCCACCAGGCCCGATGTTGTGTAGAGGGACAGAAGAAACAGAGGGGGAAGGGGGGAAGTGAGAGAAGAGGTTAGCTCTGGTGAATGGATGCGCGTGAGAGAGCAGTTTTGAGAGGTCTCAAAACGAGCCCTGGTGAATGGATGCACGTGAGAGAGCAGTTTTTTGCCAAGATAATTGCCAGGCTACACCCTTTCAGCGTCAACCGTGGCATACGTACCGTTGTCAGCAATGGCCTGTCCAACGGCCTCGTGAATCTCCCCCGAGTTCCCAATGCACGTGGCGTTATCCGGATATGCTTATCGGAAAAGCATGAGTAGGAATAGATGGGATGAACTCTAGCTTGGGCCTCTGCAGGGTATGCCACTGCTGCACATACCGTTGTCAGCGATGGCCTGTCCAACGGCCTCGTGAATCTCCCCAGAGTTCCCAATGCACGTTGTGCAGCCATAGCCCACCACGTGAAAGCCCTGGCCCTCCAAAGCCGGGAGGAGGCCACTGAAGACACAAGAGAGAGGAGGGAAGGAGAGAAAAGGGAAAGGAGACGCATGAGTTCCCGATGCACGTGGTGCAGCCATAGCCCACCACGTGGAAGCCCTGGCCCTCCAGAGCTGGCAGGAGTCCACTGCATAAAAGAGAGGGAAGAGGAGGGAAGGCGGGTAGAGGGAGCGGAGGGTTATGAGTCAGTGCACGTGGTGCAGCCATAGCCCACCACGTGGAAGCCCTGGCCCTCCAGAGCTGGCAGGAGTCCACTGCATAAAAGAGAGGGAAGAGGAGGGAAGGCGGGTAGAGGGAGCGGAGGGTTATGAGTCAGTGCACGTGGTGCAGCCATAGCCACCACGTGGAAGCCCTGGCCCTCCAGAGCTGGCAGGAGTCCACTGCATAAAAGAGAGGGAAGAGGAGGGAAGGCGGGTAGAGGGAGCGGAGGGTTATGAGTCAGTGCACGTGGTGCAGCCATAGCCCACCACGTGGAAGCCCTGCCCCTCCAGAGCTGGGAGGAGACCACTGCACAAAGATAGGGGGAAATAAGGATCAAGAGGAGGAGGGTCCAGAGGATGGTTGAGTTCCCAATGCACGTGGTGCAGCCATAGCCCACCACGTGGAAGCCCTGCCCCTCCAGAGCTGGGAGAAGACCACTGCACACAGAGAGAGGAACGAGGGAAACAAAGACGGAGAGGAGGAAAGAAAAGAGGCAGAATGAGCTCCCATTGCACGTGGTGCAGCAAAATTCACCATGAGCAAGCCATGACACTCGAGAGCCGGGAGGATGCCACTGCAGAGAGAGGGGAAAATCAACACAAGGAAGCGCAAAAATTGGGTCAGTTCTCGAAGCATAAAATGCAGGCGTAAGTGACGGGTTCTGTCTATGTTGCTGCCAGATGCTTCCTTCCTTCAGCCAATTGCATAAACCCAGAACCTTCCTACCAGGAAGGCACAACCCGAGCTCCTCACCTGGCCACGAGGTACTTGGTGACAACGTTGGACCCAGGGGCCAGGCTCGTCTTCACATACGGCTTCACCTGCAGCCCCTCTCATTCTCCCTATGCTGCAGCCAGATGCTTCCTTACTTACACCCTTGCCTAAACCCAGAACCTTCTGACTGGAAAACACAACCCCAAAGACCCCAACCCCAAACCCTCTCACCTGGCCTCCAGGTACTTGGTGACGACGTTGGAGCCAGGGGCCAGGCTCGTCTTCACATACGGCTTCACCTGCAGCCCCCTCTCACTCGCCTTTCGCCACAATGGCTACAGCCAGCATCACCTACGCCCCCTTGCATAAACCCAGAACCCCCTGGCTAACCAGGAACAGCACACAGCCACCGGCCCCCCTCACCTGGCCTCGAGGTACTTGGTGACGACGTTGGAGCCAGGCGCCAGGCTCGTCTTCACATACGGCTTCACCTGGAGCCCCCTCTCACTCGCCTTCTTCACTGCCTAGCATGATCCAAAAACCTCCCTGCCTCAAACACGAAAACCCAGGCCCCCTGAACCCCAAACCCTCCTCACCTGGCCTCGAGGTACTTGGTGACGACGTTGGACCCAGGCGCCAGGCTCGTCTTCACATACGGCTTCACCTGGAGCCCCCTCTCACTCGCCTTCTTCGCCACAATCGCTGCCGCCAGCATCACCGACGGGTTGGACGTGTTGGTGCAGGAGGTGATGGCAGCAATGACCACGGACCCGTGCTTCAGCTCGGATTCCACCCCCTCCTTGAGAGCTACCTTCACTGCCTTGTCCTGCTGCGCCTTGGGGATGGCGAAGCCCTGTGGACGGGATGAGGGCAGTGAGTGGGTAGAGGCAGAAACAGCACAGTCAGTCAGTCACCTACAGGGAAGTTCAGGCAAGACAGACAGAGGCACAAGGAGGGGTTGGAAGTGTTGGTGCAGGAGGTGATGGCAGCAATGATAGCAACAGAGCCGTGCACCAGCTCGGATTCCACCCCTTCCTTTAGTGCCACCTTCACTGCCTTGTCCTGCTGGGCCTTGGGGATAGCAAAACCCTGGGAAATGGAGAGAAAGGGCACAGCACAGGCACAAGGAGGGGTTGGAAGTGTTGGTGCAGGAGGTGATGGCAGCAATGACAACAACAGAGCCGTGCACCAGCTCGGATTCCACTTTGTCTAGGGTTTAGCAGCACCTTCACTGCCTTGCCCTGCAGCGCGTTGGGAATGGCAAAGCCTTGGGGATGGGCGAGGGCATGAAGTTGGGTAGAAAACGGGACAGCATAGCACAGTCACTACTAGTGTAGGTGACGGGTTTGAGATTGGAAGAGGGCTAGGTGGGAACATGAAAGAGACGTGCTGGAATGATGAAGAGACTTGCCTTGAAACCGACAGGGTTGTCGAGGCAAGCGTGCCAGTCGGACTTCATGGTCTTCAAAGTCACTCGGTTCATGCGGCCTGCAAGGAACCAAGCAAAGCAGGTAACCAGCCAGCCACGGGAGATAGAGTGAGGGGAAGGGGAAAACTTTTCGGAAGTCAACTCCACTCAAAAGTCGACTCAAAAGTCAACATGGTCATGCGGCCTGCAAGGAACCAAGCAAAGCAGGTAACCAGCCACGGGAAATACAATGAGGGGAAGGGGAAGAGGCGCCATCAACAGGAGAAGGAGAACAATTAGAGATGGCGGAGCACTCATGCATGATGAAAAAACAACAAATTGAGCAGTGATATTGCTTGCTCGTTTCCTGGGTTTAGAAAGCCACGTCGCCCACCTCTTGGGTCCAGAGACGCAGGGCTCCACCGTGGCGAGGTCTAGCTCCAAGTAGGACGAGTACTTGCGCTTGGCCTCCGCCTCTCCAGCCTGGTAGATGACACAGATGACACGGATGACAGGAAAAGCAAGGATAAAAGGGCAATACGGAGGATACTTAAGAGGATGCTCTCCAAAGGCGCAGGGCTCCACAGTAGCAGGGCCTAGCTCCAAGTAGGACGAGTACTTGCACTTGGCCTCCGCCTCTCCAGCCTGGGGTAGGAAAAGGTGATGCACGCAAGGATCCACGGGGAAGACAGAGGCAAACGCGTTGAATCAGGACGAAGGTAGACGTTGACTTTTGAGTCAACTCATAAGTCTGCCTTTCTGGCCTAGGGGGGAAAACAGGTGATGCACACAAGGATCCACAGGGAAGACACAGGCAAACGCGCTGAATCAGGATGGAGGTAGAAGGTGCAGGTGGGTTTTGAGTCGACTCTAAACACACCAGCCTGGCGGGGAGAGGTGATACACGCAAGGATCCACAGAAAGACACAGGCAGATGCGCTGAATCAGGATGAAGATAGAAGGTGCAGGTGAGAAGGTGCAGGTGAGAAGGTGCAGGTGAGAAGGTGCAGGTGAGAAGGTGCAGGGGAGAAGGTGCAAGGGGGAAGGTGCAGGGGGGAAGGTGCAGGGGGGAAGGTGCTGGGGGGAAGGTGCTGGGGGGAAGGTGCAGGGGGGAAGGTGCAGGGGGGAAGGTGCAGGGGAGAAGGTGCTGGGGGGAAGGTGCAGGGGAGTAGATTGCAGGTGAGCCAATGAGACATGCCTGTCACAGTGCCATGCCTCCATGATGGTGTGTTTAGGCTGATCAGCATGCAAATTTGAGAAGCTACACAACAAATCACGGTTGCATGGTCCATGAACAGGTGGTTGGCGCGCATGTACGCCTCAATCTGCTCAGCTTCGTCTCATCCCTCCCCGTAACCCTCAAGTACTGCAGCGTCACCGAATCCACCGGGAAAGAACCCCATGGTCGCCCATACTCGGGCGACATATTCGC